TCACTCAAGAGCAAGTTTCAGGATCTCTTCTGAGATCCATTTGGTCTTTTCTTCTTTTCTCATCTTTTTAACGACCTCTTTCTGTTTTCAGTCATTGGTGTTCAATATATCAAATATAGTCTTTAGATGTTCTCTAAATTCAGGAGGGATAAAATCAAGGTCATATCTTGACTCTGGTGGACTTGTTTTAATTGTCTTCAACTTCACATTGAACTTGCATATGAGCAGTTGATGGTCTGTCTGTTCCACAATCAGCTCCTGGCCTTGTTTTGGCTAGAGATACTGAGCTTCTCCATCACCTCGTGCCACGGATGTAGTCAATCTGATTCCTGTGTACTCCATCTGCCAAAGTCCACATGTACAGCCACCGATTGTGTTGTTGAAAAAAAGTATTTGCAATGAATAAGTCAGTGGTCTTGCAAAATTCTATCATGCAATCTCCACTGTTATTTCTGTCACCAAGGCAAATTTTCCAACTACAGGTGATTCTTGTTTCCAACTTTTGCATTCCAGTCACCAGTGATAATTAACACATCTTGATTCCATGTTCAGTCAATTGCGGACTGCAGAAGTTGATAAAAATCTTCCATTTCCTCATCTTTGGCTTTGGTGGTTGGTGCATAAATTTGAATAATAGTAGTATTAACTGGTCTTTCTTGTAGGCATATGGATATTATCCTATCACTGACAGCATTGTATTTCAGGAGAGATCTTGAAACAGCCTTTGTGATGATGAATGCCACGCCATTTCTCTTCAAATTGTGAAATTATTCCAACTGATAGCAACCTCCATTGGGTTTCCAAGGTTGTAAATCTTTATGGAAGCAAACTGTTTAATCTATCTCCTGTTGAGTGGCTGGTGGGTATCAGCCAAATGCCTTAACCACTGCACCACCAGAGCTCCCTATGTATATCACTCAGAACTCTTTCTGGCACATGTAAGCTCATGGTATGAACTGACTCTTTGAAATGACATATAGTGCAATGGTAAGGGTGTGAGTGAGGGACAGCACTGAGTTCACATTTTGTTTTTATCACTTACTGCTTTGTGCCCATGGGCAAAACCACTTAACTTTCTGTTCCTCAATTTCTGATCTCTAAAAAAAAAGATAATATAATAGCATATCTTATTAAATCCTTTCATAAGGATTATAGTAAGGATTTAATGTGTAAATATATGTAAAAACCCAAAACTGTCACCATAGAGTTTATTATAACTCATGGTGACTCCATGTGTTACAGAGTAGAACTGCTCCATAGGGTTTTCTTGACTATAATCTTAATGCAAGCACATTTCCAGGCCTTCTTTCCGTGGTGCCACTGCATGAGTCTAAACCACCAATATTTAGGTTATTAGTGGAGTGGAGTGTTAACTGTTCACACTACCCAGAGACCTTAAGTATATGGAATGTGGTTTAAATAGTGCAATTATTATTGAGCCCTTATCATGCTGAAGATAATTCAAAAATGGTTGCAGCAGTATATAGCAGAGAACTTCCAGAAATGCAAGCTGGATTCAGAAGAGGATGTGCAATGAGCGATATAATTGCAGATGTTGAATAGATCTTAGCTGAAAGCAAAGAATACTAGAAAGATGTTTACATGTGTCTTATTACCTATGTAACAGTGTTTGACTATGGGCATCATAACAAATGGATAACATTGAGAAGAATGGGAATTCCAAAATACTTAATTTTGCTCATGAGGAACTTGTACATAGATCAAGAAGCTGTTGTTCAGAGCAAGGAGATACTGCATGTTTAAAAATCAGGAAGGGTGTGCATCAAGGTTGTATCCTTTCCCCATAGTTATTTAATCTGTATGCTGAGCAAATAATAGGAGAAGCTGGATTATATGAAGAGGAACATGGTATCAAGACTGGAGAAAGACTCATTAATAACCTGCGATATACAGATGACAGAACCTTGCTTGCTGAAAGTGAATAGGACCTGACGCCCTTACTGATGAAGATCAAAGACTAGAGTCTACAGTATGGATTACATCTCAACATAATCAAATTGAAAATCCTCACAACTGGACCAATAAGCAACATCATAATAAATGGAGAAAATACTGACATCATTAAAGATGTTGATTGTGGGTTCACAGTCAACACCCATGGAAGCAGCAATCAAGAAATCAGTTATGTTGCGTTGGGTAAATGTGCTGCAAAAGACCTCTTTAAAGTGTCAAGAAGCAAAGATGTCACTTTGAAGACTAAGGTGTGTAAACCAAGCAATGGTATTTTCAGTTGCCTCATATGCATGTGAAAGCTGGACAATGAATAAGGAAGACTGAAGAAGAGTTGATGCTTTTGAGTTGTGGTGTTGCTGAAGAATATTGAATGTACCATGGACTTCCAGAAGAACAAACAAATATGTCCTGGAGGAAGTGCAGCCAGAATTCTCCTTGGAAGGGAGAATGGCCAGACTTCACCTCATCTACCTTGGTCATGTGGTCAGAAGGGCCTGTTCCCTAGAGAAGGATATCATGCTTGGTAAAGTGGAAGGTCACTGAAAAAGGGGAAGACCTTCAACAAGAAGAATTGACACAGTGGCTGCAACAAGGGGCTCAAGTACAGGAAGGATTGTGAGGATGGCACAGGACTGGGCAGCATTCGGTTCTGTCGTACGTGGGGTCACTATGAGTTGGAGCTGATTCGGCAGCCCCCAACAACAATAATAACAATTATGCTGGCCCCTGGCTCTAGTTAGATTCCTTAGGTTTAAATCCTGTCTTTGTCTTTTACTTAGAGTCTGGTGGCACAGTGGCTAAAGCATGTGCCTGCTAACCGAAATGTCAGAGGGCTGCTCTGCAGGAGAAAGATGAGGCAGTTTGCCTCTGTAAAGATCTATAGTCTTTAGAGCCTGGTGGAACCCCTGAGACCATGGCCCCTCGCTACCCTTCAGGTCTGACATTGAACCCACTCCTGTGGCTTCCAGACAAATAAAAGACAGGCATATGAGCTGAACATTTACATTAGGTAGATATACTCCTTGGAGAGATCAATTATGGGAGAATAGAAGGGCTGTGTATGCACAGGGAGACAGCTCAGGCAGCAGGAGGGCATGGAGGGAAGGACACAGGGAAGAGGTAACTATCGGGAGGAAGTGGAAGGGGAGCTGTTGCATTGTGGAAAATTATAGTCAATGTCATGAGACAATGTGTATGTGAACTGCTGTATGGAAAATGAATTTGCTCTATAAACTTTCACCCAAATCACAATAAAAATTAAAAAAAAAAAGATCTGTAGTCTTTGAAACCCTACGCAGCAGTTCTACTCTGTCCTATAGGGTTGCCATGATTTGGGATTAACCATGGCAGTGGTTTTGGTTTTGTGATTTACTAGCTGTGTAACCTAGAGAAAGTTATTAACGTTCTTATGCTTCAGGTTTTGGGGTTTTTCTTTTTTTGAGGAGGGTGTTTTGTTCTATATTTGATTGTTTTTATTATGCCCCAAACCTACAGGGTTAAAGCCTTTATTTTCTCCATTTTCTTATGCCTCAGGCTTATCATATATAAGATGATGAAGAGCTCCTCTCTCACATCGTGTGTGACAAGGAAGCAATAAAGTGCCAGAATATTAATTTATTTAAACCAATATTACTGAGTATATGTACTATTACTCTAGACCCTTAGTATAGTTACAGCAGTAAATTCAACAGATTAAAATAAAAACAAAACAAAATTCGCCATCATGGAGTTTAACTCTAGATAACAAATAGTAATAATGAACGCCTGGCACATAGGAGTGTTGTGTTAGGTATCATATCTGTGTTTCAAAGCAATATCCCATGACAAGTCCTGTATATTTAACCTAAATTGCTTCTATCCGTTTTATTCTAATAGAAGAAGACATTTTTATAAATATCTACAGTGGTAACATTTAGGACACAATAAATGGATAAAATACTGAGTGGTTAATGATGTTTAGTGTGGGTCCACAATCAAAACCCATGGAAGCAGCACTCAAGAAATCAGATTCAAGCCAAGGTAATACAGACATTGAGAAGATGCCAGAAACTGCAAAGGGGAATTGCACATTTGAGAAGAGGCCTACTGGTAAAACTTTGAAGGCATTCACGACCCTTTTGCGCAAGAGCTAGAAATTTGTTAACGCCTGCCTGCAATCTTCCGAAGAAGGTGTGATTATACACTATTTGCTTAAGCCACTTGAACTCATTGGAGGAACGACTTGGATAGAATAAACATCAGTTTTCACCTGATAAATTAAGGATTCTGAGTATATTTTACTAGTTCCATTGACTGTAACGGTCATGTCGAGGGTTTGTTAACTGGACATTTGAACGCCGTCCATTCAAGGGTGGAAAAGAAAAAGTTGATGAAGTCTGGCGCAACCTGGAACATCAAGGCTTCGGGATCTTCCGTTGCTAAGGCAACCGACCGCGCGCCCGCCCAGAGCGGAGGAACCTGAAACGTCAGCGACCTGCGAGGGTGGCCACCTTCCTTCCGTCACACGGTTTTGTTCTGTTATGGTTAGAAATAGGCAAGGAATGCAGTTGTCAAGAGGGATGCTAAATGCGTCCTCTGTTCTCGGTAGAGGGCGCTATAAAAGCAAGTTCTCCCAAGAACAATAACCCGTTTTGCGCCTCAACGCCGGAAAGGTGTTAGCGACTCCCTTCCCCGTGAGGGTTAATTCTGATCTGCAAGAGTCCCGCCCCCGCCCCCGGGCTGGGAACCGGAATAGCACCGCCTCCCAAGACCTTCTCGCGATCGTAGCAGCCGAGAGAGCCGTGCGTAACTTCCGGTCACTACGCACCAACTCTTCAGTGATTGGTTCGTATCCACGGTCTGGGGCGTGACGGTGCTGGCCGGCGAGTTGGGGTTTCACGTGTGGCCGGGCCTAAAAACTTTCCCGCGAACCCGCGTTATCCGTGACTGGGTCTACAAGAGCGTCGTCGCTGCAGTTCTTGGGGTCTTTTCGCGCAGCCACAGCATGGTAAGCAAGCCTTCGTTGTCTTGGTGCCTTGTTCCTGAAGAGACCAGACTGGCCCCGCTAGTCGTAGTGGCTTCTGCGGCCTGGGACAGGGAGGACGCCTACCTGTCCGGAGGTGCGGGGACGCCGCGCTGCGGCAAGGTGTCCTGGTGTGGTTCGCTTTCACCACCCGGCTAACACTTTGCAGGTTGGCTCTCACATGCCGAGGCTCCTTGGGGAAAGGAGTGAAGCGAGTGTCCTCTTTCCCCGTGGGGCCTTCAGCGCTGCATGCGTTCGGTTGACCAAACACCTGTGATACAGGACACAAACGTGCCACGCTGTGCTTCATGGAGTCCAGGAGTTGGAGGACAGATGTCTGTCTCCTTGCTCTGGGGAAAGGGAAGAGCACTTTTGGATGGGTCTAAAGTTGAACCCAAGATTGAATAACGAAGTAAGAGTGTAGGTGCGGGTCACGAGTCTCGTTTGACGTTAACTGTTTCTTTCGTGGTGGTGTTTAGTAGTTTGTACATGAAGTGTTCACCCTGCTGTCTGCCCCAGTTTTCTTGTGGCAGGCTGGTGGTGGTTCTGGTTCAACCTGTCAGGGCCCTTCCCTAGAGCCATTGATGCATCACCTCGCTGTGTTTCTTTTTCTTCCCTGGAAGTCATTCCTTTGTTTATTTGCTTTCTGTTGTCTCTGAAAACAGAGACTGTGTGGCTTGCCCACTGCTGCATTCCCAGTGTGCATACCAAGGTCTGCAGAGTGGACTCTCAGTAAATGTTGGAGGAGGAGAAGCGCAAAGCTATTTTCTGTAGAAAGTATAATGATGCAGCTTGCCTTACGAGTGTAGGTTTTAACCATTTGTTGATCATTCACATAACTTATTGAAGATGCCTTTGTGGAGTACGATACGTTTCACTTTTGTTGTTTTCATGACTTGTATTAATTCTGTTCTCTTGAAGCCTCACAGAAAGAAGAAGCCCTTTATAGAGAAGAAGAAAGCTGTGTCTTTTCACCTGGTCCACCGCAGCCAGCGAGATCCTTTGGCGGCGGATGAGACGGCACCTCAGAGGGTGCTGCTGCCTGCACAGAAAGTAGGTCCTGTTTGTTACTCAGCACATCGGACGCGAAGAGGACTAATCGCAGTTGTTAATAAATGATCGTTAGCTTCTGTTCTCATGTAACTGTGATCTTTGGGGAAACAAGATAAGACTTCGTTTTTAATAAATGTACTTTTTCTACGTCAGACGTGTTTATTTTTGTTTGGGAGGATGAAGCATCTTTGTTTGACAAGATTAAATCAGGGCTTCGAACTGGTTCATTGTGGTTCAACCCTCTGCTCAGAATCAGCCTTTCCACTCCAGATGCACATTCTCAGCACGGCATTGGACCAGTTTAAGTGAGCAGATCTTGTAAAGTAATGGTAAATATTTACCAAGTGACCAGCTACAGTGATGAGGATGTCCTCTTATTTAGGGCATAATCATATTCTCACTGTCCGTCTGTCCTAACATCCCACCATTCATAATCACAGACTTCATTTTGCCACCTGCTCATTTATCTCATGAAATAGAAAGTGCCTGGACTCATGGGTTAGTTTTTGAAAATGCCAGGGAACCTTGAAAAGGTTGATTTGATTATTATTAGTTGCAGAGTATTCTCGTTGAGCATAATGTGTTGGGAGATATTGGCCATGCTTAATGGTTTTCTCTAAAGCCTGTTTGTGTTGCACTTTGCTAAGTTTCTTTGCATATAAACACAAATTGTGCTTATCCTTCAGGGCCCCCTAATCTTTTTTTCTCATGCACCAATACAATCACACAAGAAAATGAAATGGGTATTTGCATGGATGTTTTTCTCAGCTTGAGTCATTGCACAGCAGTATTTAATAGAAGAAGGAATTGTTTTCATGCTGTTGTAATTTTATGTAGCACCTTACTGACGAGTTGGGCCACTTCTGGTTTAGAAGCTTTGTATTTAAGTTTGTCAAGAATTCTTTTCCTCATAGCTGTCAACTATTGTTTTCGTGTGCTGCTCTCATTGTAATTGTTCTATACCTTATCTTTGGGAAGGGTTCTAATTCCAGTTGGCTTATTGCCCAAGGTCAATGATGAAGAGAGGCGAGCAGAGCAGAGGAAGTATGGCGTGTTCTTTGATGATGACTATGACTACCTGCAGCACCTGAAAGAACCGTCTGGGCCTTCAGAGCTTATTCCAACAGGCAGCATCAGTGCAAACAACAGGAGAGAGGAGAAAGAAGAAACTGTAGTGATTCCAGTAAGGCATTGCAGTAATTGAAGTGGATGGTATATTGGGAGAGGGAGGGAAAAGCCTATCATTTTTAAATCAAGATAACTGAGTTTGGTGTGTGTGTGTGTGTGTGTGTGTGTATGGGGGCCAGAAACGGTGACAGCATGAATAGTACAGAGCTCAGCCATGGCGCCACTTAAAATGTACATGTGTGCATGTGCCATCGGGAAAGAGAAGGCCATCTGTTCTCTGGTGTCAGTTGTCAAAAATAAAAGCCTTTTGACAGCTTTAGAACATTAGATTAATAGATATGGTTATATAGGCAGCCTATTTTAATAGAAGGAAAGCTGCTAAAGCCATTTACACTGTTTCATTATCATAAACTCTGTTCTAGAGTGGAATTTAACCTTTGCAGAATGTTCAGCTCTTCAATAACACCTGTGTAAAAGCTGCAGGCTAACCATGAGGGAAAATGGATGAAATGAATTGTAATGAAATACCTGTTGTTCTCAACAAAAATAGTCCATTTTAATTCTTTTAAGTACAGATGAGAGCACATGTTTATCGGAAATTAGCGTGACTAATTTAAGGTCTGTTTGTCTCCCTGTCTATATTATCATGCCCGTGTTGCGTGCCTCTGTTACCATCTCATTTTTTATTTCTTGTGGGAAATTAATGTTACACACAATACTTGTTACAGATGGCTTCTGTGCTTCATATACTTAAAGATAGCCTATTTAAATTCTCTACAGCTGGGTGCATGGCTCAGTAGGGAAGAGAGAAAAAGGGTACCAGTTTCCCCTTCCCTTCTCCTCCAGTGCTGTCAGGGTCTAGGTAGTCTTCCCCTTGGGAAGATGTGATAATAATTTCTCTAGTCCATAGCTTGTTCCTTAAGGAGAGTCTTAGCGTTAAGATTAAGCTTGCTTAAGTTTCAGGGTGTCATTGCAAAGAAAGATGTAAGGACAAGCACAGCTGCTCCATTTACTAGCTGGGTCTTAGTCCTCTTGTAGTGCTCCAGACACCATTACTGCTCTCCTGTCGTCTTAGGACTAACTTCTCTCTACTCCTTCCCTAAGGCGTGACATCAGTAGTAAGGTACTTATCTCTTACTGGTTCATTTCTAAGACCCATGAGAAGAAAGGCAGGGAGGAGAAGGGCTTGCAGTGTCTCAACTGCTTTGTCTTCCTTAGGGAGAAAAGTTTTCATAAAGTCAGAAGCGTCTTCTGGCTTGCTTGTATGCACCAGTGCAGACTGCTAGCTTTTAATTCTTTAATTCATTTTGGGTAAAAATAATTATTTGAGCTCTAGTCATGTGTATGCTTCATTGGCTATTTTTCATTGTTTGAAAAATATTTGCAAAGGTAAATTCACTGAACAAACTAACATCCCTTTTTTTAACCCCGAATTCCAAGGTTATATAATCACAGCGAAAGCAAAGGGGTGGGCACTCACAGAGGGGATAAGGAACATCTCAGTGGAAGGAAGAAGGCCGTGGGGGTAGAATTGTGGATCCCAGTGCCTGCACAGTGTGTAGCACATAGACTCTCGGTAAATTATTTTGTTGTATTACATGACAGTGAGGAACTGGACTTGGTTTGCATGGAGGTTATGTGTTGAGCAACAAGAGCTTTGGATATGGAGAATAGACCTGGAGCATACAAGGCCTTCAAATTCAGGAGTTTAAATATGGGGTACAATATCAAGGACTATTTTAAATTTTGGAAAGTCACATGATAAAAACACTAAAGAAGCTGGATCTGGCAATGGTGTGCAGGTTGGATTAGATGATGGCGAGTAGCTGAGCAGCTGGTGCAGTAGCCTGTCTTTGTTACCCACCACGAGGGTAGTGCCTGAAGGAATGGAGTGAAGTCAGTATATGCAAGAGTTCAAAGAGGCATGAGGAATGGGGAGCAAATAATTTATGGAGCTCTGGTGGCATAATGCCTAAGGCATTTGACTGCTAACCAGAAGGCTTGTGGTTCAAACCCACCAGCCACTCCTCAGGAGGATGGTTGGGCAATCTACTTCTGTATTGATACCACCTCAGAAACCCAGGGAGGGGTTGCTATGAGTCAGATCCGACTTGATGGCAGTGTGTTGAGTTTTGTGTTTGCTAGGACTTCAGATAACTGATTGATATAGTAAGGAGCTCAGGTGACACAGCAGTAAAAGCATTCAGCTGCTAACCCAAAGGCTGGCAGTTTGAACCCACCCATCTGCTCCACAGGAGAAAGATGGGGCAGTCTGCTTCTGTAAAGACTCTACTTCATCCTATAGGGTCACTGTGAGTTGGCCTTGACTCAGTGGCAGTGGGTTTGGGTTTTGTTTTGTATCTTCCAAAAAAATATTATTCCTGTATGATGGCAGTGAGTTTGGTTTCTTTTGGTTTTATACTTGTGAATGTGACCTTGTTTGAAGTAGGATCTTTGAAGGTCAGTTAGGTTAACATGAGGTCTTGCTGCAGTGGGGTTGGCCCTAGTCCTGTGTAACTAGCGTCCTTAGAAAAGAGAAGAGATGGGGGACAGAAGAAGGTTGCCATTGCAATGCTGCAGCTACAAGTCGCAGAGTACGTGAAGCTACCAGAAGCTTAGAAGAGAGACATGTAACAGATTCTCAAGGCCTCAGAAGGATCAACATGGCAGACACTCCGACCTTGGAATCTCAGCCTCTAGAACTTTGAGATAATATATTTCTGTTCTTAAAACTACCCAGGTGTTAAGGTTTTCTTGGCTGTTAGAGCAACCAAGAAAATGAAGATGCTGGTTTAAGAGGGAAAAAAATTGTTTTGAAATTTCAACTTCAGGATAGTGGAGTCACAAGACCTTGATTTGAATCTGGAACCTCACTTAATGACTATTTTCAAGCCAGATAGCCATTTAACCTTTCTTAGCTTTTGTCCTGTCACAGAAATAGATTGTTAGTCCCCAGGATTATAAGGATTAAATGGAATGATACATTGGAAAGAGCTTTGTGAAGTATTAGGGGGAGGTTGCTTTTGAGGTAAAGATCAGATATACTTGTTTGAAATACGTACCTGGAGTTCAAGTGAGAGAA